CACACAGACAACCCCGTAACAATATGCGTTTTATACTGCTGTTACACAGCACAAAACGCATAAAAACCGAGGACATCTGTTAGTCACCTCAACTTACCTCAAGCAGCTGCAATTGCAGATGAGCAAAAAGTGGCGTTTTTAATTCCCTGAAAAAGCGCTTGATGAGAGAACAGACATCGTGCGTTGTGCAGTCTTCCGGTAATTTCTTGCCACCAAAAAACGTCTGCATCTAAATTGTAAAATAATTGAATGATAAACGCACGTGCTCACACATATCTCTCATGCGATGTGAACAAAAAGTTAAAGGCCCGTTCGCATTCTATTCTCTATTTAAGAATACACAAGCTGGGAAAAGGCCAAAATGAAGTTATCTTATCAACAGTAACCTCCTGCTGAATAAAGTTATAAAAGTCCCTTTCTCTGGAGGATTACTTGAAAGGCAACGCTGGTCTGTCACCCGAGTACATTAAGCACGTTAATACCAATTTACCAATTCAGCCTTATTGACCTTACTGGGATGCACCCGACACACCGGGCGCAATTATGCCAAAATCTTTATGTGCATAATTTCAGTCAGTAAACACCAATTTTCGCCATGCGCCACCTTTTCCGAGTTTATTTTCGCAGATACTCGATGCCCATCAGTCACCAGCAATATATCCGATTATCAGACTTTTATTTTGCCGCGTGGCCAACCTGCATGCCACTCATCTGACTATTTGTATGGTTTTGAAGATGCACCCCAGCACCACATTTCATAAGTAGCTTTTGCACTGAACCACGACATTCACAGCCTAAATGGTTCAGTTGCCCGCCGCTACTGCTGAAAATATCTAGTCCGCCCAGTTTGTCAAATGTCGAGAAGACAAGAGAAACAGGATTTCGCCCCTGCGCAATCTTCTCAATAACACTTGCCTTGAAGCAGCATATTGTGTTCACCGGTAGAACAGAAAGCATTAGCTTTTTCAATTATTTCTACGTGATCCCTATCAACCGATTCATCTAAAAAAACTCACAGCGCTGCAACCCGATCAATTTTACCTAATGCTTTTTTGCATTCGAAATCCAATTTTCATCTCAAGTGCTGCTTCATCCAGGGATCCCGTTTATCGATTAACGATGATCATCACAAAAGACCCCCGAACGCAAAACAGCAAGCAGATCGAGCGGCATTCAAATCATTTTTACTGTCCTTCCAGCAAAACTATTTTAGAATTTTGCAGCTGTTGTGCACCCTTGTTCCAGCCAAATGCCTACTGAACAGAGTCATGACAGCTTTCGTGCTTTCTGGATTTGATGATTCTTTCGTTAATGACATAATTGCTAGAAATCCATTTTGTTTGGAAATCTTTATGTACTGCCTTACTGAAAAGCGTTCAGAGGAAACAAATGCTTATCCCGCGACGTGAATTTGATACTCTGAAACGCAAATACACCACGCAAACAGATGCGTTTTCTTCATTTTATTTTTTGTGCGGCTCCGTATAACTCGCTCCTCGTGTTTTCCGTGCATAGCTGGGGACGGCTTAGCATTGTCAGTGTCCTTTCTCTTGCCAATATTGCTCGAAAAGAATGGCGCATAATGTTTTCTTGAAATGCTTGGAGATCGCAGAATTTATACTCACTGCACGGTTCCTCTAATAAATAAACGATCAAAGATATTTGACTGCAAAAAAAGAAGGCGCGGACGGAAATCGCGGGGCACAGGATGCTTCACGATAAGATTTAAAGCATCATACTGAATCGCAACATGGCTCGCATAACCCGTGGAGATTTGCAGTGTTCTGAAGGCATACTTAAAATGCGCCAACAAACGACCGAAAGAATGGTTAATGCATCTTACCGAAAAAGTTTTCAAACGCCCAATATTGCCTTCTTTGCGGAAGATACCGCTTGCGTCAAGACCACTGATACGCAGAATATTGAACGCATCCACAAGGAAACTGCAATTCACATTCAATAAATTGCTTGAACAGGGCGACCTAATTAGGCGAGACTGAAAAAGACACACATACAGTGGCACTCCTCGCAGCGTGAAAGTACTGAATCCACGGTGATCGCCAATATCCAGCTCCATCGTATAGCTTGCGATATTCTCCAGCCTAAAACAACACTATGATATTTCAAGAGACATAAACGCAAACACACAAAAATT